CTGTTAACCCCTTCCCAAGACCTCTCCAATTTGACTACTTGCCCTTTCTCTGTGGGCCTACAAAACCCCAGCCCCAAAGAGAGCCTGCTGGCTGCACTTCCCCCAGCCATCTCCTTGGAGCCACTCTGATGTTCTTATTGTTTGATTAAAAAAAAAAACACAGCTTTATGGAGATATAATTCACATACCATGCAACCCACCCATTTAAAGCATACCGTTTCATGTTTTTTTGGAATACTACATTATAAATTTTCTGAAGTTGTAAAAACCTATAGAATTTGCCATTTTAAGGATACAATTCAGTGGTGTTAATTACATTCACCATGTTGGGCAACCATCTCCACTATCTATTTCAGAACTTTTTCATTACCCCAAACAACAGCTCTGGACCCATTAGGTACTAATTCTCCATTCTCCCTTCTTTTAGTAACCTCCAATTCACTTTTCATCTCCATGAATTTGCCTTTTCTAGATAGTTTATGTAAGTGGCATCATACGTGTTTATCATCTTGTGTCTGGCTTGTCTCACCTTGTATAATGTTTGGAGGAATCAGAAATCATTCCTTTTTATGGCTTTTATGGCTTTATTCCTTTTTATATCCACATTTTGTTCATCTACTCATCTGACAATGGGTACTGGGGTTGCTTCTACCTTTGGGCTATTGTGAATAATGTTGCAGAAAATATTGTCTGACAAGTATCTGTTTGAGTCCTTGCTTTCACTTCTTTTGGGTATAAAATCCTGGACCCACATTTGACCCCTCCAGTCCAGTGACACTCAGCGGCCAGGCCAATCTTTCACCAACACACACCTGATCGCCTTACTCCTCTGCTAACAACATTTTGGTGGCTTAGGATAAAGATAGGAATGCTCCCAAGGACTTAGGGTAAGGATGTAAGTGCTCACCAAAGTCTCTGGATCCCTGAGCTCTGGCTGCCACCCTCTCCACATCAGCATGCCCCGCCCTTTGATTTATGCCCTGTCTGCTCTAGACTTCTCTCCATTCTTTCATGGAACTATGCTCCTTTTGGATTTCACACAGCTGGTCTCCCCTCCTTCGCTCCTTTCTTTCCTCCCTCCCTCCCTCCCTCCCTCCCTTTTTTATTTTAAGTAGGCTCCAAAGCAGGGCTTGAACTCAAGACCATGAGATGGAGACCTGAGCTGAGATCAAGAGTCAGATGCTTAACCGACTGAGCCACCCAGGTACCCCACAGGTCCCTTTCTCTACAATGTTCACCCTCCCAAACACCTAGGTTTGGCTAGTTTTTTCTTGGCAAACTGTTCCCATCTTTCCTATCCATCTTGCCTTAAAAACAAAACAAAATAACAAATGAACAAACTAAAAATCAGAAACAGACTCATAAATATGGAGAACAAATTTGTGGTTGCCAGAAGGGAGGGGGCTGAGAGGATGAGGGAAGTAGGTGAAGGGGATTAAAAGGTACAAACTTGGGATGACTGGGTGGTTCAGTCAGCAGGGTGTCTGCCTTCAGCTCAGGTCATGATCCCTGGAACCTGGGATGGAGTCCCCCAGTGGGCTCCTTGCTCAGCGGGGAGCGTGCTTCTCCCTCTGCCTGCTGCTCCCCCTGCTTGTGTGCTCTCTCTCTCTCTCTCTCTGACAAATAAATAAATAAAATATTTTTAAAAAGATTTTATTTATTTATTTGACAGACAGAGATCACAAGTAGGCAGAGGCAGGCTAAGAGAGAGAGAGGGTATCAGAGCAGGGAGCCCTATGCGGGGCTGGATCCCAGGTCCCTGAGATCATGACCTGAGCCGAAGGCAGAGGCTTAACCCATTGAGCCACCCAGGTGCCCCTAAATAAAATATTTTAAAAAATAAATAAAAGGTATAGACTTCCAGTTATAAAATAAATCAGCCGTGGAGACGAAAAGGACAGTATGGGGAATATAGTCAATAATACTGTGACAACATATGGTGACAGATGGGACTATACTTATTGTGACAAGCATTTTGTAATACAGAGAATTGTCCCATCGCTATGTTATGCACCTGAAAATAACAAAACATAGTATGTCAACTATACACCAATAAAACAATTTTTACTATCACTCAGCTCCCCCTCTCTTCTGCTCTGTGTCCCCTTTTAGTTTATGATTCTCCAGTCACTGTCTTCCTATCTGTATTAATGACTAATATTTTTTTTATTTTTAAGATTTTTTTAAATTTATTTATTTGACAGAGAGAGATCACAAGTAGACAGAGAGGCAGGCAGAAAGAGAGAGAGAGGGAAGCAGGCTCCCTGCTGAGCAGAGAGTCCGATGCGGGACTCGATCCCAGGACCTTGAGATCATGACCTGAGCCGAAGACAGCGGCTTAACCCATTGAGCCACCCAGGCGTCCCAATGACTAATATTTTAAAAAAGATTTTATTTATTTGACAGAGAGAGACAGCAAGAGAGAGAACACAAGCAGGGGAAGAGGGAGAGAGAGAAGCAGGCTTCCCGCTGAGCAGGGAGCACAAGTAGGCAGAGGCAGGCTAAGAGAGAGAGGGTATCAGAGCAGGGAGTCCTATGCAGGGCTCAATCCCAGGACCCTGGGATCATGACTTGAGCTGGAGGCAGAGGCTTAATGACTGAGCCACCCAGATGCCCAATAATGACTAATATTGACCAAGCATTTACCAGCTTCAGACCCTGTCCTACCCAGGTCATGTGTATTAACTAATTAAAGGGTCACAAGCCTGAGACTTTATAGAGAAGGAAACCATGGGTGTGCCTGGTCAGCAACAGAGCCCACACTGGCACCTGGAAACAAGTTTATGCCTACACAACCTTAGCAGGAGGCCCCCCCCCCCACCGCCCCCCAACCATGTGGGAGCCAGTTTCCCTGACTGTGCAAGCCCCCACATCCCCTAACACTCACCAATTCATACTGAAACCAGACAAGTGAATGGCTGGAACTCCAGCTACACCGGGGAGCCGAGTTATGAGCAAACAGTACTTACTTACTCAGTGGCTCCTAGTGCTAGGCATCCTTACCTACCTTTCCAGCCTCCATTTCCCCAACCTAGAAAGTGCATACTAATACTTATGTCCAAAAGTTATTGAGAAGGTTGAGGGTTTTTTTTTTTTTTAAGATTAAAAAAAATTAATATTCTCTACACCCAACATGGGGCGGGAACTCACAACCTGGAGATCAAGAGTTGCACGTTCTACTGACTGAGCCGGCCAGGCGCCTGGAGAAGGTTGAGTATTTTTTAAAAAGATGTTATTTATTTATTTGACAGACAGAGATCACAAGTAGGCAGAGAAGCAGGCAGAGAGAGTGGGAAGCAGGCTCCCTGCTGAGCAGAGAGCCCCATGCGGGGCTTGATCCCAGGACCCTGAGATCATGACCTGAGCCCAAGGAAGAGGCTTAACCCACTGCGCCACCCAAGCGCCCCAAAGTTTGAGTATTTTAACACAGATTCTAAATCACTGTGCCGGGTAGAATGGGTCCCACTGAACAAAGATTGAGGTTTAGCCCTTGCCACCCCACCTGCAGACTGGGAGGAAGGGGACAGAAATACCAGTTCCTCCGACGGGGCGCCTGCTGGAGCACTGTGGGGTTCCAAGTGATCCAGCCCTCCTGGATCCTTGCGGCGCATCTCCTCGACGTTCCCACAGGTAGATCGGCGCGTCCGGGTTTTCCTGTCCCCAAGCCTCCCTCCCCGCCGCCGCAGTGTGCGGCGCTGGCAGTGCCGTTGGGAGCCGGCTGGGGCAGTGCGCCTGGTCCCGCCCTTGGGCCTCATTATCTACGTTTCCGCGTCAGGCCCGCGGAGAACTTGGCAGGGCCTCCCCGCGGTGTTCGGGAACACTTTGTGCCGAGCGCCCGCCGGCCCAGCCCTCCTCCCTGCCGGCGCCGCCCGGCCGGGACGCTCGCGCAGTCCGCGGGGTTTGGGTCGCTGGGGCCCCCAGGTTCCCGAACCCCGAGCTCAGCCACGAGCCCCCACGCGCTCCCACGCATTTGTCCTCTGTATCCCCGAGCCCTGGCCACGTAGTCCGCTCCTCGCCCACGGGCTGGGCCTAGGTCACACCGCGCGTAATCGAGAGGTTTAGAAAGATGCGGTGGCCCATTTTAAAACAAAGCCCAATTATTAGCGCTCGGTGCTATTTATGCCGGGCCAGTGTCAAATCCTCCGAGCGCTGCGGACAACCAGTACCCAAAGGAAACGTAGTCGGAGAAAGAAGAAAGAAACCGGCCCTGGAGCCATCTGACCCGCTTTGAAATCCCCCTCCCCGAACCCTTCTCCTTTCAGTCCTGGCTGCGTTAGCTTGGGCAAAGCTCGGGGCCTCAGTCTCTTCCTCCGTGAAATGGGGTAACTGCATGCTTGGTGATTCTACACGAGGAGCGACGCAGGTCGCAGGGACGTCAGTGCTGGGGTCCTACACCTCCAGGACCCCACCTTCCCACGGCCCCTTCCTCCGCCCGGCCCCGGGGGCTCTTGGGCTCAACGCGTAGCGCTGGCTCCAAAGTGCGTCACGGGCACCGGCCGCGCTCCTCCCGCAGCCAGGGCGAGGCTGGCGCCGGGCCAGCGCGGGCCGGGCCAGGGGTGCCGGGCGGTCTCCGGGGCGGGGACCCAGGCGTGAAAGGCGCTCAAGTTGCGCGGTCCTTGGTGCGCTGTTGGGGGCGCCCTCCGCAGCGGGCAGCTGGCCAGGGACCGGCCCCCGCAGCCGCCGGGCGCGCGAAGGCTGCACTTTCCCTTCGGCCCCCCTCGTTTCCTCCCGCGGGGAGGCAGCGGAGATTTCCTCTCGGGGAAACTACGCGGATCCTTCCCGGGGCTCCTCGCCCCGCCCCACTTCTCCGCCCCCTCCCCTTTGCTGGGGAGTCGGGGCTGGCCTGCGCTGGGAAGAGGCTCTGGCAGCCTGAGCCGGGAGGTGGCGGGGGGCCGCGGAACCGCAGGCCAACGACTCGCCCCGCCATGTGACGCTGCCCTCTGCCCAGGGACCCCCATCGCGCCCCGGGCCCGCGCCCGCTCTAGGTCGCGCCGGGCACCATGCTTCTGCCTGGGCACGCGCGCCCGCCGCCCGCGCCGCAGCCCGCGCAGCATCCTGGACCCCGCAGGCAGGTAGAACCTCCCGGGCAGCTCCTGCGTCTCTTCTACTGCACTGTCCTGGTCTGTTCCAAAGAGATTGCAGCGCTCACGGACTTCTCCGGTAAGAAGCAACCTCCCTCGCCCTGCGCCCCCGGCGCCACAGTGCGCCCAGGTGAGCCCTCGGCTGGGGGCAGCCACCCGAGGGGGCACAGCCGGGTTGGATTGACGTTTAGGCACGCTTATAGCCAGTTTTCTTGCCTGGTGTGAGCCTTTGGCATAGAGGTGGCTGCGTGTGGAGTGATGGCACAGGAGGTCCTCCCCTCCCCAAGGAAGGGTGGGTAACCTATTGGGAGTTTCTCGCCCTGCTGTTTTCCTCGTCAATTTCCCATCAAGGGCTCCTGGCATCAGGGACCCGACTCTGACGGATACGTGTCCCCTGGAGGCTCCTAAACCCTGAGCCGCGCCCAGCGCTGTACATTACACGTGCTGGTCCGCGGAGTTGCACTTGGTTTGCCACGCGCGTGGTCCGGGTGCGCCCCAGCCAGCCTCCCGGGTGCCCATGTATGGAGACTAGCCCGAGGGACCTCTGACCTGAAGTCTGCGCCTGCAGGCAGGGAGGGAAGCCTGCCGGCAGGTCCCTGTGCCAGATGAGCAGAAGTTTGCCGAACAGAGACTGGGCGTGGGGGAGGGTCTTGACTTTACCGCCAAAAGGTACAAGCGCCCCCCTTCCCCCTCCAGTCCCAGTCTCCTTTACATAAAATAATGACTCCCTCCTCCCAGTAAACGGTGAGGCTTTCCTTTGGGGAGAGAGACTCACACCAAAGCTCCCGTAGCTGATCTCAGTTCTGGGGTAGTAGGTGTGGCTCCACGAAGTGAGAGAAGTTTCTGGGTTGATGATGGCTGGAGGAACCACATTCTTGTTTTACCGCTGCACTTGCTTAACAGACCTGGTTCTCCCTCTGGTGAAGTTGGAGGCCTTCACCCTTTCCCAGCCCCTGCCCAGCCCAGGGGGCAACTCTGAACCCCACTCTCCCCCTTCTCCAGGGATCTTCTGCCAAGTCCGAGCTTTTGCGGGCAGGGTCCTTTGCAATCTAATCATGGTAAATGGAGTCACTTCTCCCCCTGCTCTGCAGTAGACTGGTACGTGGCAGAGAACACCGGCAAACCAGGAGCTGAGCTGGGTTTCTAGTTTACTTACAGAGAATGTCATTGTTAGCTGAGAGCCCTTAGGTCAGAGGTTCTTTGCTTTGAATATTTAATATCAAGGCAGTGTTTCTACCTAGCAAAGGGAGCCAAGATATGCCTATTTGGCAAGCAAACTGCGGTCCTTAAAATTGAGCACTGTGGGGTCAGAATACTGCAGTAAATGTCCTAGGGAAATGCTTCTCAAGTGCTATTGACTTTTTTTTTCTTTTTCTTTCTTTCTTTTTTTTTGGTAACAGAACTTTCTTGGCTGTTAGAAAAGTTCCATATTTGCTGATTTAAGCTATGGAAAGCAGTTCTGAATCTGCCACCCTCTAGCTCTGAATATTGTGGAGAAAGCATTGAAAGCTAACAAACCTTTTTTTTTTTTTTTTTCTGGTGACATCACTGCAACAGAACAAATATTGCTTTAGGTAAATTGCGGTGTAACCATTAGATTGTTTTCACAGATTATAGACACTTGGAGTTTGTTTCTTTAGTGAAACAGTTGCAGTGTTTGCTGCCGTCTGTAGGTTACCACCCAAGTTTGGAATTGTCTGTATGTAGCGACCGTTCTAGAAGGCGTGTTGGAGCTATCCAACAGGGATGCCACATCCTAAGGGAAATGGATATTTTGATACATGTGCTTCTTAATGACAGTAAATGATAAAAAGAGGTATTTCCTTCTGCTTTCTGTGTGAACCTGAATTCCAGGGTTTAAAACTCCCTGCGCCGCTGGGAAATGGTGATTTGACCAAGTTGTCCACAAGCAGCCTCCATTTTATCTCTGATCAGCCTTGCTCCTCAGGGATCTGAGGGCTAGGGAGAGAGTGTCAGGGAGCCTTTTTGGGAGAAGAAAGAAAAAAAATTACATCCTCCCAAAGCACAGACACATTCAGGTTTAAATCTAAATGCTATATTGTGTGGCATCGGGGAAACATTAGAGAAGGCTCAGAGAGAAAGATAGAGTCTTTTGTTGATTGGTTTGACTCGAAACCTTTAAGGACCCCCTAACTCTGTGATATACAGCATTGGGAAAAATTCCCAAGCTCCAGAGGTGACCATCTGAGGGTTCATTCAACTGCTTTAGTCAAAGCAGTGTATACCCATCATGTAATTCCAAAATCCCCTCCACCCAGCACCTGGGGGCCTCAAACCCTGATGCCTGCTTTCCTGGGGACAGGTGGTCCTGCTCTTTTTTATGAACTGGGAGGCATTAGAAACCAGAGGTCTGTAAGGAGATAGTGCCCCCTGTTTCCCCACAGAGCCTTACAAGAATTGCCCAGCGCTGGGGAGCAGCCTTTGACAATGCCGATAGTACTTGTTTCTCTAAACAAGGAAACATCAAAAACTGAAGCTGGGGGGTGGGGGTGGGGGTGGGGGGGACTTGGGATCCCTTTGCCCTGGGAAGAAGGGGATGGAGGAAGGATGGTGTTTCCACATGAAAGAAAGTACCAGAATGTCAGGGGTCCCAGTCATTGTGTGTACAGTATAGGGCCTCCCAGATTAACAGAGCAGAGTTTTGGAAAGTTACTTAAGCCTTTCTCTTCTTTGCAACTCTTCCTTGAGCCTTTTCCTGGGGCTGTCAGCTGGTGTAGTTTTCCTGGGTCATTGATTTTTTTTTTTTTTTTTTTTTTTTGCTTTGAGGATTCCAGCATCAGATCTCACTCTTAATAAGCCAGGGGCTGCATGGTGGCCTCCCCCTCCCCCTCCATGCTCGTGACTTGTGCTAATCACCTCCAAGCCTGCTGGGAAAAAGGCTTCCCAAGCACCCCCTTCCTTCTCATCCCTGGAGATACTGAGATGCTGCCAGCAGCCACTGGAAGGCTATCATCACTGCATTAAAAACATATCCCAGGAAGACAAGAACAGTTCATGCAAAACCAGTGCCTATGATCCTTAATCCCATACTCAAATACACTCGGCTTTCAAAGGTTTTCCTCCTTGGGATGGAGTTCTTTTTTTTTTTTTTTTTTTTTTTACTTCATTCCCAAATCGGGGATTTGGCCAGAGAGGTCTAAATTGATCATTGATTTTTTTTTTTTTCGAACAGAAGTGTAATGTCAGCATCATCTTTGTTCAAAGAAGAAGGCAGGGATGAGGGCTGAGAGGAGGGAGGGATGCCATCTTGGTTTCCGGCCATAGAATGCAAAGGATCTTCCACATTTTGTCCTGCTTTGAAGAGCAATGTTCCGGTGTGTCTCTCAAACTTATTTTGCTGAGTTCAGTTTCTCAGGTCTTGTTCATTTTTTTTTTCTTGGTGATTTTTCTCCCCATATCTCTCTGCTGAAGGCCAGCAGCAGCATCTCTTGTCTCCTTGTGTACCCCCTTTCTTTCTTTTCTTTCTTCTCAAAGAAGTTCAGAGAGATTGATGGGCTTGTTGAGAGGGATGGAGAGGGAATGGAGGGAGGGAAGGGGTGGAAAATTGTTCTAGTTCCCACTTGGAATCCTAGAAAACTCTACACTTTTGACAGAGTAGGCATGAGCCTATGTCCACACATTTGGTTTCACCCTGGGGCACATAATGGTGAATGTGGGAAGCAGAAGGGAAGGGAAATGAGACACAAGGAGAGCGGGGCAGTCTTTAAGGTCTTCCTTGTACCAAACTGTCCCCAGACCTTAAAGATGGAAGGGGTTGTCTGGGCCGATGTCCTGCTCCCTCCCGAAGCAAACCAGTAACCCAAGCCAACAAGAAGTGGTGTTTGTTACCAGATCATTTGCAGCCCAGCATATAAGCCCAATCCTAGCTCCTTATTTCACTGGCCAAGAATTTCGGAATGTAGAAAAATGGTAAGTCAATCGCTCTTGAAGCCTCAGGGGTGGGAACCAGGTCCTGATGGAGGGTGGGAACCAGGTCCTGATACAGTTGTTCATTTAGGAGAGAACGAACCTTCCCGTTCTGCTCAGATAAGCAGTGGCTCTCCACCCTGGCAGCACACGAGAATGGCTTCAGTCTGAACAAATGTGGGGGCGCTCAATCAGCACCCCAGGGCTTCTCGAGTAACCAGTCTGCGGGGGGCGCCAGGCCCTGGCATCATTTTGAAAGTCCCAGGCAACTCAGGATAGCCAGAGTTGAGAACCACCCCTCTTAGGTTCAGAGGGAAGGACTACCTCCCACGTGCATGGGTTCATTCAGGGTGCACAGGCGTGACTGGGTGTCCCTCCCCCCCTCCCCCAAGGCTCCCTACCAGGGAGACTGGGACTGTATTTTCCCAGCCACCCATATGTCTCTGCACCCCAGCACACACATACAGAGTTCAGCATTTGCTCGTGCCTTAGTCACATCGCCCTTTTATTCAGGGACTGTCTTTACTTGTCACAGATTTTATGGGATGAAAAGCTGGCTCATAACCAAAGAAAAACAAGCCCAATGTCTGAAGGGGTTGCCCAGCTGTCACAGAAGAAGAGAGATGAAGAGAGGCATCTGAAACTGCTAGTCCGTTTCCATGGGAAGTAACTACATTTGAAAAGTGTTCTGCTGGCTCTTTCCGTAGCAGGGAAGAGGAGTCTGGGCTAGCGAGTGACTCCATTATTGATGACTCTGCTCTCCCAGACACTTTATTGGAAAGAGCAGCCTAACAGCAGTTTCGGGGAAGGGACAGAAAGGCAGGGAGTAAAAGTTAATTGAACACTGTGTTATATGATTTCCAACACATCACAGCCCCACGAAGTCCACATTAGCCTCACTTTCCAGATGAGAACCAAGCCCCAGAGGGGTTAGCTGACCTGCCCAAGACCACCCGGCTGGGATGCAGAGCAGAGACAGACTCTGACATGAGCCTGGGGGAGGAGGTGGCTTGGCCTGTGCGGGTGCTGGGTGGGGAGCAAGCCGGGGAGGGGGGAAGGTGTCACAATCTGCCTAAACTTTCTAGATAGTTCATGGAGTGATCACAGCTGCATCAGTTGCCCACTGAGTAGACTGACCTTGCCCATTCTGCCCTTCAGTACCTTTTCCACCCAGTCCATCCAAAGTGGCTGCACACGGGAGGCAATCCAGTGGATGTAGGAGGAAAATGTTAGAACTTCTGTTCATT